TGTTAAAAAAAATAAAATAAAATAAAAATAAAATGGGAAAAATAAAAGAATAAAAAGTCAGGATGAGATAGGGAAGCATGAATATTTCATGGACTCTTCAAAAATCACACAGCCTAACCAGAATGCCTAAAGTTAAAAAGACTACGTTGGCACGATGTGGAGGAACTAGAATTGTTGATGGCTGTGTACACTGATATACCAAACCAAACCCACTTGCTAATAAGTTGATCCTGACTCATAGCAACCTACATAGCTTAGTAGAACTAAGCCACCTTTCATCGTGGAGTCGCGCGTGGGTTGGAACCATGGACCTTTCAGCTAGCAGGTGAGCACTTTAACCATTGAGCCACCAGCACTTTCACCTTAGAAAACTCCTTGGCACTCAACAAACGAAGAACAAAATGAACATTTATGTTGAGTTCACACCTTTCCAAGAACATTAATCAATGGCCATTGGTGCCAAGTATAAACAGAACAATAAGGAGTTTTCAAAGTATTCTAACTTCAGACACTTTCTGAGAGAAGCAACTGGGAGGCAGTTTCTGACTCCAAATACCAGAACCACCAATCCCACATGGACAGCACCTATGAAACCAATGACAGGAAGCCCCCGCTCTGTAAAACCGTCTCTCTGATAAAGGGCATATCTAAGGTCCACTCATTGTGTCTTCCTTAGTAAAAAGTCCTTTAATGCAGGAGCTCTGGGGTGTAGTGGCTATGTGTTAGGCTGCTAACCACAAGGTTGGCAGTTCAAAACCACAAGGCGCTCCACAGGAGAAAAACGAGGCTTTCCACTCCTATGCAGACAGTCTCAGAAATCCACAGGGGAAGTTCTAGTTTGTCCTATAGGGTCGCTATCCGTTGGAATCAACCTGATGGCAGTGAGTTCGTTTTTTTTATTTTTCTGGTCTTCAATGAGGCTGACAGATTTGCTGGCTGCCACGAACCTTCAATTTACAAAGCGCAGTAAATCAAAGTATGCATCCACTTGCACTGTTTGTTTGAACAAGCTCCTAGTTTGGATGCTCCTTGCTCATCAACAGCATCTCATATTCAGTATGCCCTTTTAACTCTAATATTTGTTTTCTTTCCACAAAACGAATACACCGTGGCTGAGCAATTCCAGAGGCTTATGCAAAAATGTTCATAGCAATACTGCTTTAAAAAAAAAAAAAAGCAAAACACCAAATTCCCTGCCATCCAGTTGATTCCAACTCACAGCGACCCAATATGGGGTTTCAGAGGCTGTAAGTCTTCAGGAGCAGTCAGCTTCCTTCTCTCCTGGAATGTCTGGTGGGCTTGAACTGTCAACCTAGTAGTTAACAGCCAGGGTTTAACGCACAGCACCACCAGAGCTCCTGAATACTCTATATAGCAACAAATAATTCAAATGGATCTGATGCTCTGCAATACAGATGTGTCTCGTGCGTAAATGCTGAGGAGAGGGAACCAAACACAATATAAAGTTATAAGATCCATTTAAACAGACTTGAAAAACAGGAAACATTATTCTGAGATTACAGAACAGGACAAAAATAAATAAGTACATAAAGGCCAGGGCAGTCATCAGCCCTGGAAAGAAAAGTGGTGAATAATGATTAGAAAGGTAGAGAACTGTCATTTTTATGTTCTTATCTGAATGTTAGTAATCAGGATATGCTCATTCA